TCGACGTGATCTGATTTTCCAAGAAATCTAATTTTCAGAAGGATGATTTAATTTTAATTCCATTTTATAATATTTTATGGCTTATAAGATTTGGTTCAATTATTCTAAAGAATTTGCTAAATGATATTTTAAATGAATCCTTTGTTAAAATAAGCATCAATATGATTAGAATTAAGAGAAATTATTTTATCAATGCAGATTATTGCTTCTTCATATTATTGTAAATCCTATAAAAGAAGACCTAAAATTCTAATAAAGGGATTGAACCTTTTCCTTAAAAGGCATTTACGAAAATTGGATTGATATTCAAGGCTTGATTAAAGCCATTTAATGTTTTATAACATTCACCTGTATGTTAATATAGTATGGCTAATTCTATAATACTATTTTTCACCTCTATTGTAATAGGTATATGCATGATTTTAATCAAGTTGAATTGCTTTGTCATAATCATTTAATGCTTTGCCTTTATAATTTAATACAAAAGACATTTTATATTGAGTGTAATTTTATTTACCTCTACTATAATAGGTTAATGCATTATTTGGATCAAATTGGATTGCTTTATTATAGTCAATTTATGCTTTTTCTTTCTCACCAATAATTTAGTAAAAATTTCCTTTTATATTAAAGAGAATAACATTCACCTCTAGTATGATAAGTTGTTGTCATTTGGATTAAGTTGGATTGCTTGATTATAGTCATATAATGCTTTATCTTTTTCTCCAATATTGTTATATAACTTGCCTAATATATTAAGTTTAATAGTATTCACCTCTGTTATAATAGGCTAAACTATATTTAGAATTGATTTCTAAAGCTTAATTGAAATCTCTATGTGCATAATCAATCATTTGTTAATCCTAATAATATATACCTTAAGATCTAAATTTTAATTACCTCTACACATAAATGAATAATAACAATTCCCATCTTTTTCTATGGCTTAATTGAAATATTAGAGTTCATTATCCTATTATTTAAAATCACTTATGATGGTGCCTAGAATTAATTTTAATTGTATTACCCACTCTGCAATAGCCCATAGTAAAGTCTTTATTAATCTCCATGTTATAACAATAGATGTAAAATATCATTAAAATAATGATTTTAATTTATCATTAACTTTTAATTGTTCGAAATTTTACTAGTGCAACGTTATCCTTTTAAATTTTTTTTATCTTAAAAATATCTTTTGAAGTTATTTTTTGATAATTAAGTAAAAAGGATATTAAATTTTTAACACATTTATGAAAAATCTTAAGTTGTAATATTTTATTTGTTTAAACATAACTGTGTACAAAAATATAATTTCCATAAGCAATTTAAATTTGATAAATTTTCATCTCTTGATCAATTGACTAACTATTATCTGAAAACAACTTGTGCAACTCAATTCATGGACCAATTTTAATAACATTTTCTACTTCATCATACGATCCACCAATACTAAAATAATTTTTCAAAATATTTTTCAACGTATTTCCCTTAATATTCAGTTTCCCATAAATCTATTTTTTTATTGTTTTTATATTCTTCTTTATAACTGAGTTAATATAAATATGAAAAATCATGACTCAACTCTATCCATTTTCCAATCTTACATAAATAACCTATTTTATCAGCTTATCCACCACGAATTAATTTTTTTTTAAATTAAGTCTTATCCTTTTTTTCATCCTTAAAATTCTTATGACACAAAATATCCCATCTACAAACTTTCTTCTAGTTTTATAGTCTCTAACATTAGTAATTTAAGAAATCTTAATAAATTACTCGCTTAATTCTGTCCATTTCCAAATTTTACACTCATTCCCTTTATCATCATCTACCAATTTTTTTACCAAATCTATATTCAAAAATTCTATGAATTTCTTTTGTCCAAAATCTTCACTCAAATAGATCCAATTAATTCTACCTTTATTAAATTGATTTCTAATTCTATTTAAAATCCCATCTATCCACTTTTGTACCATTTTTGTAATCACCTTGACAAGTAATTTCTTATAAATAATCAAATTCTTCCCATCTCCAGATCTTTAACCCATTATTACTTTCATCATATAATCCTACA